AAAGACTTCATTTTTAATTATTACCACATATATCAGAAATTAAACATAAAACATAGGTAAACATTGACGACTATACGAAAAAAATGGTCTCTGTTACAAATTTCAGTCGACATACAAAAACCTAATAATTTACTGATTCTACATAGAAATTTGTTGCCCACTAGCAAACAAAAACAAACGGGCTTGCTTCAAATTTGCATTTTTAAAAAGTAATAAATTACTATTATTTGATCATTATTCTCAGTTTTCAATTTGGAGGAAAGACTTATGTTATATCAATCGTCTGTTCAGTGAATAGTATTTTTTCTTAGTATAATTCTTTTTTCAGCCGTCTTCTAAAATTTATGAAATGTAACATAGGCCCTTCTTCTAGACACCCATTCAATTAATGAAAGTAAAGGCCCCATACCGCAGATTTTTCATGCAGTTTCTTCTTCTGTTGAATAAGATACTTTTTCAAAGGCTCTTGGAATTTAGAACCAACATATGGTACAATTGCCAATAACTTAATAAATTTATCTAGAAGTTCCTCATTAAAAGCTATAATTACTGCAAGCTGTTGAATATGCATTTTTATAATAGCTTTCCCTATAAGTGTTGCACCAAAAAATGTCCAAAAAGGAATTAGGTAATGACCACATGTCAGGCCAGCCAAATCAAATAATGGATTGGGAATCTGTAAAAGATTTGTCTTGATAATAAAAAATCGCTAACTTTCCAAAAGGAGGTAATTATAAGGAAATATAAAATTGATATACTTCAAATTGTATTCACATATATAGCACATATTAAAGGTAAATTGTATTTAATATATTATGGAAGAATAGAACATTGTAAAAAAAAAAGTAACATTTTAAGAAAATCATTTTTACTTACTGAAGCACAAGCAAGGATTCCCCAAAAACCTGCTTTTTGTACAAAATGTTTCATAGTTAGTTTTATACGTATCAATAATGATACATTTTCACCATTTTCTAATGCTTCTAATGCTTCCAGTTCTTTCAAATCTTCCTGATCAAATTTTTCATTTTTATTATTCTGTCGGCTAGTTCGCGCAGCTCTAGCCATAAAATATGGTGGTAATTCACCAAGAGCTGTACCAGCACCCCAAAGCATAGCTTCTATGCGCACTTTTCGCATAATATTTAATATGCCTGCTGACCACATTGGATCAATTTTCGTAGGACATATTATTTGATCGGGATATGGTGGTTCAGGGAAATTAAGCGCACCACATTCATATGCAGCCATTGTAACAGCTGCTATATGTGGACCTAAATAAAGTACAAAAGTATGTAAGCCTGTACCAAGCCCTACACTAGAAAGGACACCTAAACCTATCCAATATAACCACCAAATCACTTTGGTCTCCCATGCTTTCAAAATCTGAAAATATAAAAATATTTAATAATATTAATGTGAGTTTCCTATACTGAGTACAAAGACTATGTCAATTTTATATTGTACATTCATTTTTTATCTTATTCTATTTATAATCAATAAGTTTATAATAAATTCTATATATTGGGACCGATTTTTGTAATGATCATTGAAAATAATACGTGTGATCAATATTATGTTTCCAAATTTAATGTGCAATCTAATATTAGATTTACTAATATAGAAATATAAAACTATGTGTTTTTTTTATTATTGAAACGATTTTAGTGTATTATTTAACAATGACAAACAGTGAACCATTTTTGAATATTCGATTATTTCCTTAGTAATAAATAAGCCTTTTGTATATATTAATGGACATGTGAGAATATTTTTCAAGTCAAAGATAACTGCAATTATGTTTTTAAACTTTGATTAATCGCTATAGAAAAAACACTGTGGTATCTGTGTAATTTACGATCCTGGCTATTTCTTCAATGTCATTTAATGTAAATATTTATCCAAATCTATGACGTTCCAACATATTTGCATTGAACACGTGATATTCAAATATACTCGAAGTCATTCGAACTGCTTGAAGTTTAATCGTTTTGTATTATAATCTTTAATTCCTATTATTCGAACGATTTGAGATGTGATTAAATCTTTTTGCATTAAAAAAGGGCATCTTCCGTTAATTGATGATATCTTCATTACATTATTTAATACTAAACAAACCCTTCTGGTGAATGGCAATAAACTAGGCCTTCGTAATTTTTGGTTTGATACTAACCGATAAAAGTAACTTGAGAAAAGGTAATTTAAATGAATTATCATTCAAATTAATTGTACTATTATGAATACAAAGATGACCCAACGGGGTTTCAATTTGTGTTCCTATATAACGATAATTTTATGAATTTTTGCGTATGATCGACATTGATCATCTAAGCGTACTTATTTTTGGCATCGTCATCTGAAGGAAACAACCCTGATTATCAAGTTCTAATAACGACAGCAGAGTAAAGTAAACACTTATTTTTTAAAACTTTCTCTGTGTCTCCAAAATAAACAATTATGCAGTTCGAATTCCTTAAAACATGTAAAATCATATTCCATAAAAAACTTTCATCGTCCATTTTGAAAATTGATCAAAATCTACAACTGGCCACTTTTATTATAATTTGTAATTAAAAAGGTATCACATAATATGTTGCACTCGAAAATAAATAAATTTTGGGTAAAAAAAGTAAAGATCAAGAAAATCCAGTTATGTTCGGTTACTCTTGCGTATGTTTAATGGTTATACTGCAGAATAAAAAAATAAAAATTCTATCAAATGATATGATTTTGTAATGAATATAATAAAACTGTACTCTTACAGTTTAAATTTTGAGTTCTGTTATTATTTAGAAAAAAAACCAAAGTTTTATCATTATTACTGTCTAACAAATGTAAGTATAATACTTTCGTTCAAAGTTTTGATTACATTGTTGTATTTCAGATTTAATTAGTAACATGTAATTATTTTATAATGGCAACACTGGATCATCATTTTGTAATAATTAAGAAATAATTATTAGTAAAAATAATAAGTAATTTTTACAATAAATAGTAAAATAAAATAATTCGCTATATACTTCGATTTAACCCAAAGTAAGAAAATAGTTTCATGTACACACTGTTTCGTTTTATTGGATACAGTAAAATGTCTCACAAGGGATTAAAGTGATAAAAAGAATATTTTAATTATTTATATCATTTAATGTGAATTAATAAATAATTTTTCTGTAGATACAGTAATGGAAGAGATATCAAAGTCCAATTAATTTTTTGTAAATGAATTTTTGTTTATAACATGATAACATTTGGTGAAGCGAATATTAAAAATGAGTTAAATCATCGTGGCTCATATGTAAATATTTAAGTACTTGAGTTTTAAGTAATTATATTGATCGACAGCATTAAATCATCTTTCACGTCTTTGAATTTCTTGTAGTCAATTCTAATAGAAATGGCAGTATTTGAATTAAAGTATTTTTGAACCTACCAGTTTATCTATATAAATAGGTTAATACTTTCTATGGGAAATGCTTAGATAAATCAATTAGTGTATTCAACATTCCGTTAAAAAAAAGTTGACACAGATGTTATTGAAAAAATTAATTCTTTCAAAAACATAGTTAGAATTAAATACACCCTGTTAAAAGACATATGCAGAGAAAAGTAACTTCAAAATTAATAGCAAATAATAACAATTCAAAACGAATGATGGCAAATTGTAGCAAACATCGTGTGAGCGTGCTGTGAGAAAGAAACTGTATATTACAGGTTCACAACGAAATAGTTTCAATATTTTGGTATCATATTCTACTCTTCCGAATTATGGAAAATGATCATAGTATAAAGATAGACCCCGAAATTCTATGCTTTTGAAATGCAAACATTCTGTTTACATCGAAAGTTTATTCGTATAATTGGCACACATAAAAAGTGTTATGAATGTTCATTGTTGTCTTTTTTTATTGGAAGTAAACGATGTAATAAAGCAAATCATTTTGATAATGTAGACTAAAGAAAAATAAAAACGAAAGGTATAAAATATTGATGTTTTAATTAATTCGTTAATACGTGAAGTTAATATTTATCTGTACGATACTAAAATAAGTGATCCTGATAACTCCATTTCAACTACAATACATTCAGATTCAAATTAATTTATTATGACATACGTTATCTTCAATGTCAAGGTTACTTACTTTGCTACATTACTTGTAATGAGAACAAAAATGAAAGTGTAGAATATAATATCAATGTTTGATCTCCTATAGTGGTAATAATGTTTAATCGAAAAATGCAAAAACAATTAATAATGAAGAAAAACAAATTAGAACATATTTTAGGACAAAAATAAAAATATATAAATATTGTATTAGTAAATAATTAAATTAATTCTGTTTTCAACATTTACAAACAGTTATAGGATGAAAATTATATTAATATTATTAAAAAATTCATATTAGTTTTGCCATTACAAAATAATACCACATTAGTTAAATAGTTTACGATGTATGCAGACTTTCTTCAATCATTCTACATTAAGATATGCACATATTTTCATTGTCTGCGTTTTGCGGGAGATATAAGTTCATAAACACATGCAATCAGTCAGGAGTGGTTTTTAAAATGCAATTTATAATGTACTCGCGTAATATGTATTACTTTAATTTCAATTTTTATTACAAACAGTTTAGCAATGTATAGTTTTTTATGAATTAAAAATATAAAGTATGGAAGGTCTTTTTCTAAACTATAGGATTAGCAATTTACTGTAGAAGCTTATGAAGTTATTATCACACGGGTTGCGTTTTTAGTTTAATTCAAGGAATATTCGAATACTCCAATGTTTAATGTTATACAACTCATAAACTACTTTCATTTATTGTATAGGGTGTTCCACGGAACTGGACCCAGCTGTATCTTTGAAAAAATTGATATAGAAAAAACTGTCATAGGACAAAATTAAATGTTGTTAAAGATTACAGATTTTTATGAAACTTTTAAGCATTTTTGTGTATCGGTGTAGTTGCAAAGTGCAGTTGCATTTTTTCTTTAACGTAAAATTCTAATTTTAAATACATTAATCGATAGAGTTTTTCATCCTTATAAAACATATTAATAATGTTATGTTTGGAAATTGTTAATCAGTATAGAGTTCAAACTAGTAGAAAAACTTCGTTTTAAGAATGACGAATTATATATCAGGAGGCTCTGATTAGACAACATTATTCAACAAATTACACATTTCTTGTATATTCAACATTCAATAGACGATTCTTTTAGGTTCTTTTGCATCGAATATACATCTCAAAGTCAGTTCTCTGTATAATCTTAATAGAAAGACACGAAAGAAATTTTAACCTTGAAAATTATTTATGCATTAATTATAATAGTTATAGGAATACTTCTTCCAAAAATGATTTTATAAAATCTCCCAAATAGAATTATATACATTCACACATTATTACATGCATTAACCATGTCTAAACGTTTTTTCAACCAGGTAAGGCAATTGTGACGTAATAATTTGTTCTAATATGTTTCAGTTTATTCGGAAATTTATAGATGTAACACAATTTCTATAAATTCAAAAAATTTCAATTTTTGTTTTTAAAATTAAATTTCATAGAAACTGAAGATAATGAAGAAAAACGGGTTACAAATTTAGCTCGAAAATCTGAAAGAATTACCTACTGAATATTCAAATACAAGATATTCGATAGCATTGTTTTGTGACAGGTAGTTCAATGGACATGACGATAAACTAAAAATATTTGTTCAAAGTTTCCAGGTGTAAGCCGTGCCCATTAGGAATTGTTCCCCGACATTTCACTAGTATTGCAGCTGGCATCATCAGGGAGTTTGAAGACTCGCTAATACTCATTAGCTAGAATCAGTGCTTCCTATTTAAGCATACCTTGCTCAGAGTTACGGGTGAATGATCACCAATCCGGTGTTTTTAATTGGTCAACTGATCAATAAAAAATACGAGGTGGGTGATCCAAATTGAGCTGACAAGGGAACCTTTTTAATCAGCACACGTCGATTTTGAAAAAACCTATGTGAGACATAGTTTTTAAGAAAATATTTAACATTTATTTTTCTTATAAACCAACATCCCGTTTAAACGAGTGAAAACACCCCTTAAAGTCGAGGGTTGAAAGTATATTTTTTACAATATCTCTGAAACTAGGGGGCGCAGAAAATAAATCTAGTTTTAAGATGAATAATTTACAAAGAAAACTTCTTTTCTGCGCTCTCTAGTTTCAGAAATACTGTAAAAAAATATACTTTCAACCCTCAACTTTGAGGGGTGTTTTCACTCGTTTAAACTGGATGTTGGCTGATAAGAAAAATAAATGTTAAATATTTTCTTAAAAACTATATCTCATGTTAGTTTTTTCAATATCAGAGTGTGTTGGTTAAAAAGGTTCCCTTGTAAGTTGGTAACCACAGTCCCTGTTGTAATTGTTGTGATGTTTCGTGATTTTCAGTGTTCCTCTGTGTTTCCTCTGACAGAAACCTATGGTTTTTGCTTTATTTTAGTTTTGTCATACAGGATTTTATGTGCCGTAGTTATCTGGTGTTCAACCACGGCTGATTGTGTGTATCGCAATCTGGAGCATCTGTCATATTGTTTGAGTTGTGTGCTCACGTTTCTGCCAGTTTCACAGATGTAAACTTTTCTGCAAAGGCATGGTATCTTGTAGACACAGATTGTGTTTTACCGATTCTATTTGTAACTTCTTGTATGTTGAGGAGGAAGGTCTGTGAAGTGAAAGGTTTTTGGAAGCGAGGTAAGTTGTGATGCGTGTTTCCTGTTCTTTTTGTTTCCTTGTGTGTCATCCGTGGGTTGTAACTATTCTGAATTAGGGTGCTTCTTCTGATTAATTGATTAGAAACAAAAATTGATCAATTAAAAACACTGTGTTGGTGATTACCCAGCCGTAATTCGGAGCAAAGTATACTTAAATAGAAATCACTGATTCTGGCTAACCGGTATCAGTGAGTCCTCAAACCCTCTGATGATACTTATTGCAATTTCTAATGGACATGGCTTACACCCGGAAATTTTAAACACTTCTCACAGTATTCCTGGCCGCGAAAGCCTCAAACAAATCGTAAAAATATTTTGCAGAACCTTTTCTACATCAGTAGCAAAAAATTAGAATACAATTCTGAAGAAGCTAATTTGAAAGCAAAATGGAATGGATTTTTTTCTTTGTGATCTATTTTTAATACGAATAAAAAATGCTAATAAATTTTATGAAAAACCAAGCTTAACAGTATATGTGATTTCATGGTTGAATACATAAATATCATACACTATCAACAGTTTGGTAATATTGTTTGGTACACTGATCAGTAAATGACGCTCTGTTTAGGCAAAGAGAAAGTTTGTACTTTAAAAACTAAAATCGTGTGTTCTATCCAAATTTATGAATTTCGTCATAAAGGAAAATTTTAAAATAACTTAAAATGTTTAAGAAATAACAATTTAAAAATATTAAACATTTACCTGTTGATGAGGGCCAACAATTCTACTTAACACCAGAAACAACACAATTAATGAAACTATACTCCATACTGTTTTTTTATAAAGTAATGTCTTATTTCCTAGACTGAGTATATTACTAAAGAGTTCCCGAAAAAAGTAATTGAGAGTAGTAATTGGATGTTGCCACAATGTTAGACATTCGGGATCTATAGAACATTCCTTATTTAAATTATTTCGATCTCTTGAAAATTGTGTAAACGATTTCTTTGCTTCTATATTTGGTTGAGCACCGTTAACAGGAATTGAGTCCTTCACACGCTGAATGGCAGTGGTATTTTCCAACATGGTATCGTTTGGTTGATAATTCTGCAATTAAATAAAAAGTAGCTTAATTATATTCAAACAAGCAATTTCTTCTTTATATAAAAATAAATTGGAGGTACGCAATGAAGTTTCCGAAAAAAATTCTACACTTTTATTTTGTATTAATAACATAGAATTTCAAAGAGGAAGATTGGTTGCAACTTTTCTCATAAAAATTCTGATAAGTTTTCATGAGAAATAACTGTAAAAAAATATGTTCGATGAATAATCTTTCACTGACAATCATTCTTTTTAACGGGTTGGAAATAACATTTAATGTAAAAAATGGAACATGTATTCAAATATTTCGAAAACCATTAGGTTTGATAATTTTTTTCTTGATTCTGTGGTTTTGAATTTGGTATTCAGCTACAAAAGGTTAACAAAGAGAACATTTTGTAAGTAATGTCTTAAAAAGTTGGATACTTCTGAATACTTTAAAATCCCGTATGTTTATGAACTGTATGTATATGTATTGTAAAAGATGTTATCGAGAACGTACTTTAGAAGGTATCGTAGTCTTTTACAATGTTGTAAAAAATAACACAACTTCTGTCAACAGCCAGTGTAGTAGCACAAGTGCAAATATAACGTGCTCTGCTCACAGAAATTACATTGAACAGAAAAATACAATGTATAAAACATATGTAAACAATGTCTTTGGTATAAAGAAACATTTCAGTCCAACCATATTATCACATTAACAACATACGTATTATGCCAACAAACTATGAAACAGAATCTTCCTATAGGAATTCCTATATCTACTTTCATATATTATTTGTTAAGGCATGAATTTTGTACAATTTTCAGAAAATCAGTAACATGTTTGGTAATGTTTCAAGATGACATACTATAATTGTCATGCAATTATCTTTATTATTTATTAAACTCTTCTATATTTTCGAATGTATGTACAATTTCAATGTATGTTGCGATTTACGTATTTTCATTTATCTAGAAAGAAATATATAAAGATATTTCATGTTTATATTCTGAACAACTTTTCCTTATACGTGTTACCGTCGTTCGGCCTTAGTTTTTGAGATATATGCATAAATATTTTTAACATTATGTACTTATATACTATTTTGTAGTTTCTTCGGGATTTAGCTTACATTTTAGTTAAATTATGGTTGGGTTTGATTTGTAATAAATTTTTAAATAAGTAAATATTTTAATTTCGTAATAAATAAAATAATAACTGCAATTTATAATTTTGGAACTTAACATTAACCAGTAGCTGACCGTTTTACAACGGTTGAGCTAAGTCAACTCACCCCAATCTAAACTAAATCTGGCGCATGAACTACAGAATGTAATATACAAGGTAGACCACGAAGCGTGATCTAAAATAACATGGTTCAAGAAGAGCTTTAACATGATTATACCAAAGTTTTTGTCAACCCTTTTTTTTCCAGAGTTATCAAGGTCCACTTCAGTACACGCAGATCACGAAACACTACTAACACTTCATGTCCATTATCATTAAATGTATCGCAGGGTACAGAACTAAATGTTTACGAATAGTACGTGAAAGACCAAGTCAATAATGACCAATACTAATCTATCAACAGCTCTAGAAAGTGTACAACAGTGTGGCTTGCCATTCCTCTTTAATAATCTTTAAGAATCTTGCAAAGCTCTTCCAACTAAGATTTTTCTTCAATCTTTTTAGATTCAAAAAAAAATATTTGTTATGATGCTTATCGAATTCATCTCAGTACCCTCCAAAAGATGGGTGTAAAAAAATTGTACGTGTACTCTGTAAAAAACTGAAGATGACCTTGATAAGTCTGGAAAAAAAGGGTTGACAAAAAATTTAGTAGAATCATCTTAAAGCTCCCCTCGAACTACGTTGTTTTAGCTAAAAAAATTTCGGTCGATCCGCCAGCAGCAGAATAACCTAAGCTGATCACGCTTTGTGGTCCACCCTGTATATTAATCATAAATTAATTTCATATTTGAGTTATTTTTCAATTAAGTTAGGAGTAGGATTGGGTTAGATTTAGCATGAAAAAATATAATACTAAACTTTGCTTCGTAACATTATGAACGGAAACTGAAAAAATGTCTGCTATTACGTCAACAATGCTGCAATTTTTGTTTCGAAATCATATTTGCGTCGCATATAAAACTGACTTATATAACCGACATGATGCTCCTTCCGTGTCCCATATCGTGGAATATTGGCTCTATATGCTATACCTATAGATATAACAAAGTATCGTGCCAACAATGTTTAACATCTTTTAGACTTAATGCTCCATTATGTGAATCTACATAGCTCATTTTATGCTTCATACTCAACTGTTTATAGCCTTCTCGTTTATGCGCTTTCCACCAATCTGATACAACTATAATACCTGGTTTAACCTATTCTTTGATAGCATAGAGTAAAGTGTTAAATGATCTCTTCGAAACTAATTCAATAAAGGCTATTGAATATATTAATAGATTAAGAACACGGTGATTACGATACATTTTTTTACACTGATGATTTATCCAAGTATTGTGGATAAAATATATTTCACTTTTCTTTAATCTAGTAACTCTTAAACGTCACATAGCTACTGTTTATAAACAAAATAGGCGTTGTGTACCGTACGGAAAAACGTATCCTGCAAGGAAACCTTTCAAACCCGCACACATCCATTTTGATAAAACTTTTTGTTATTAATCCTCGTCGCAAAAGTGTCACACTGTATCCACCCTCGGTTGAACATTGTAGAACCGGGGAACATAATTTCAAAATAAAATATGTTTTTCCTGTAAATATATCTTTTAAGCGTGGGTTTGTAATATATTGTACTTTTAACACTAAATCGACCGGTGGTTAAGGCAGAGCATTTTTGTTGACGGCTGGCAATATATTGCAAGTTTGCAGAAAGAGAAGGTGAACTATAAATTCTACTAACATATGACCCCAGAAAAAATATATAAATCTATAAAGATTGTTGATAATAAATTTGTAGTAACAGTAGTTCCTCAAAAAGATATTTGTCCTTAAGGTAAAACATAACCTGAACATGCTGTAGTTATTGATAACAGTAAAATTAAAATTCCAAATAACTGTTAGGATTAATAACACGGGCTTGAAACGGACCAGCCAATAACTGTTAATAACTGTTGGGGTAGAGTGGAAATAAAAATCCTGTTTTTCGTATAAATAATTGTAAAATTTAATAAAATGATAATCCAGGAATGTCTTTTTATTTTTCGTAAACCATAATAATCGTACTTTACTTTTGCACTGCTTCGTGATTGATATTATTATTTTTTTATTAAGTTATAGTATAAAATTTTTGTTCACTCAAAATGGACTTTCCGCCCTATACACGGGTCAACAAGTTCCTACTACTTTACAACTGACTTTCTATGTAATATAAAATTAAGTAAGTAAGGAACTCTATTCTAATTAAAAAAGCTTTAATAAATATTTAATATATCCTTCTTCGCATATACGACTTATTCTCTAGCAATTATTCTTTAGCTACTCTACATAATTTCATTTTGTTATCTATTATCCCTTTTGCAACGTATTTCATTATATTCAAAGGTTTAATGCCGCGATTAGTTTGCAGTTTGTGGCACAGCACTCGTATAAATGGATTTTGAATGAAGGGACGATAAATCTCTATACTGGGTAATAAGTTCCAATAAGCGACTTTTTGCCCCAATGGTACGTATATCCATACCTTTTTCGATATATATGTTCCGGGCAATATGATAAAGCGGGAGTTACACATAACCCTCGGTGATTATGTATAATCATTCTCCAATGTTATTGGTGATTATGCATAATTTCCAGGGTACTATTGCCGGATTAGTCAAATTTACTGTAACATATACATTGAAAAAAATATTACCCAGAAATAAATCGAAGCATGTACATATTGCTATTAATACACTTACTTAATTCGCTGTTAAACAATAATTTATGAGAAACAAGAAAAAACGTAACGCACTTTTTTTTTACTCTTGGATACAAATAAGCACAAAATCGTTGTGACACAAAGTCATAAAAATGCTTAAAATCGAATAGCAACGTTTGCAATGTTTTCTAACAATTGTTGACTGAATTGTGTATTGCAACGCTCAGTCAACTGATAAGCAAATAGTGATTATCAACTCGGGACTTCTTACCCACCGGATTTTCAGCCCCACTTTACCATATATAATGGGCTCAAGTAAAATAATTATGAAGGGCCGAAAAAATAACGGTCCTATGACCGATATTCTATACATAAACGACCATAATCGAAATAGATATATATAGACGGAAATGTTGGCGTATTACAACAATTCTTAGAAATATCGATCCTCCATAACTGTTTCAAGGACTGAAATCGATAAAATAACTGCTTTTCCAGCATTGTTAACAATTTAGAAGTGATTTTAATCTCCAAGAAAGTCTAAACAAGTGTTTTTATCCTATGGGATGGTTAAGTGTTAACACGTTAAACGCCACGCCGGTCCCTAGGGACCGGCGTTAGACTTTTCGTTCAGGCGCGGCCGGTCCATGCGGACTTTAGGTTCATATTACACGACCGCGCGCGTCGGTCCTTACGCACTGATATGAGACTAAATATTTTGCTTAGGCGACATCGCTTTTTGTTCACTCAAGACTTGAAAAAAAAAGAATATAATATTTAAAAAAAGTTAATGTAGTTTATTAAAACAGGGTAAACAGAGGTGTGGTTTGCTTTTACATTCATTGCAGAAGGTGCTAACTTTTTGTGTTAAATTCTTTGCCACCTTTGAACCTAATATTCGGGAATTATTATTATAACATTGAGAAAACTCCGGTCTTCAAGCCGATATTTCGGCTCGTCCGTTAGTGGTGACGGCCGCGTCTGGGCCTGAACGGAACGACAAACAAGTCGGGCTGGGCACTTAACGTGTTAACCTGTTAACACGTTGACTGTTACGAAAAGCTTCAGCTTCATGTGTAATGTTTTTTTGCAGCGAAGATACAAAGAAATGATTATCAATTATTTGGT